GCGTGTGTAAGGATCGGGACGCATTGCACTGTCTCTCCAGGTCTTCATTTTAGACCGATCCAGGCTGACAAACCACCTCAAGGCAGCATCAGCGGTAGTGATTGTTTGAAACACTGAGCAAGGAGCTCGCTGTTCAAGTCGAACGGGTTTTAGGGCACGCCACAAATCCATGTTTCAGGTGCGTTTTGGGAACAAAGTGTTCGCGTCAACACTTGTCCAATGTTTGGGCATTTTGAAACTTTGTTTGGCAGTTTGCTGTCGGGGAACAAGGACAAAGGAGTCCCATGTCCACCACTTCTTGTTGTCTTAAGCGGCAGTGATTACCTTGTTCAGGAGTTCTAGTGTTTCCTCGGTCATTCTCTGGGCTTCCAAGCTCAAAATCAGTTCTGGAGGGCAAATGTCATCCAGGCTTAAGGGCAAGGTTTTGTCAGGTTTAAGCAGTTGGTCCCTGATTAGAGGTAGCAGGTCCACTTCCCCAGCGGAAGCCCCATTTCCATTACCAATACTCTAGTTCAGCTATTAGGCGCAGTTCTTCTGGGTCTAGCCTCCATTCTGGCTTCTAGTTGTTCCATGAGATTTTGGATGTCAGCAAGTGATGCCATTGGTGCAGTTGAAATTGGTGAAGTTGGTGAAGCTAATGAGGTTGGTGAAGCTGGTGAGCTTGGTGACAGCACTGTAGGTGTGACTGGAACTTGGATAGGCACTCGAACAGTGGGTACCTGATCGGATAAAAGGTAGCTGGATTAGGGTACAGTGGGTAGTATTGTGTATCAGGGTAGCTGAAGTAGATCAACTCCTTTGTCCAATTGTGCATGACTAAAAAGAATACTTTGTGTTCTTTTTAATGTTTTAATGTTGTTCATATATGTAATGAAATGATATGTCTGAATGCGCACAATATTACGGTCATAAATGTCGTCTTAATGAACTCCGTGAATTTCCACATCCAATTAGGTGCATAACCCTAAAGGATAGGTTCTACTAGGCTTTATGACACAATAGAGAATTGGCTTATTAAGGGGAACCCTTGACCTTGAGCATGGATACACCTAACCACATGTGAAACAAGGAGTTTCGCGTGGGTCCGACAATACGCATACTCATGGGCCACCCCAAAAGGATTAGGGATGTTTTGCGGTAACAGGGAGGACGCTTTGGCTGTCCGTCGGCATAATCAAGGAGACCTGCCGATCAGCGCTACTTGCCATCCAGACTCAGAAATTTGAACAGAAGAGAAGAAATTCATTTGAAATTCGTTTTTTTATGCAATGGAGAAAAGGATTCTTAATTCGTGCAAATAAATAAACAAATTTAAATGATTTAAAGTAAATTTCAATTAGGTCCAAATTCTCCTTATTAAGCATTCTTAAAGAAAGAATACTTTGAAAGAAAGAGACACTTGATTTCGTGTTAGAGTACGCCTGCAAAATAAAGGCACAACAAAATAAATACTCTAACCGAAGGGCAGGTTAGTTGATGCAGCAATTGTAGTCCATCTTTATGCAAAATGATTCATGGGTCTCCCAGCGGAGTCCGCAAACTATGAACCCCTCCCAAAAATAGGCACTAATGAATATGGCTAAGGGCAGAATATGCACGTGAATGTGTGCGTCGCCACCTTGTTTAGTTATTTTAGGGTATAACTAGGAAAAACCTAAGTTGATCCAATTTTATTTTTACACCTAATTACTAGATTTATTATCCCAATGTTTTAAAGGCACAAATCCTACGAACCCGAGATGGATCGAGATTATGTCATGCTGATTAATGCTAACCAATGAAGATGCTTTGCAAGGTAATTGGGACCAATGAAATGTTTATGTGATTTCGATCTTGCGCTCGGAGTCTAATCCCAAATGTCCTAACATACCTTCGTTTGAATGGAAGATCAAGTCGAATGCGCTAGTTCGAATAGGCCTTTTTTAAAGGGCTTTGAATAGGTAATGCCTTAATGCAAATGAGTGCCGGTATGCTTTTCGTGCATTTTGTTTAGCATTTTGCCAAAGTTTTGACTTGATTGTTGTTTAGGCATTTGGTTGCCAAAGAGTGTTATTTAAGGCTTTTAGCCAAAAGATCTGATTTAAGGCAATGTTGCGGAATAAAAGTTGATAGTGATTTAAGCCAATTTGGCTTTGCCCAATAAGTTGTTGATTCGGGCGATTGTTGCCAAAATGATTGATTTTAAGGCTTTTTAGCCAAAGATTGATTAATTCAAGGCATTTTTGCCAAAAAATTGATGTGTAAGCTTTAGGGCAACATTGTTGCTAAAGATGTGATCTGATCGTAAACTGTAGGCAATTTTATTGCGAAAAAAACGTGATTGATTAAGGACTTTTAGCCACAAATATTGATTACACAATTATTGATTAATTGGACTTAAGCCGTACTGTTCGAAATAAAGGCAATTATACCATAGTCATTAATTGACTAGATACTTTAGTCAATATTGTTGGATTTAGGCTTTAACACCACGATTATTAATTAACCGGGTATTTAAGCTTAATCTATTTAATTGAGGCAGTTTATTTGCCAAATCGATGACGTGAATGCATTTATGCAGCAGTTTAATTCAGAATTGTAGTAGAAGAAAAATTATGCAAATTATGATGAAATTAAACAGGCAGAGTTTCGTTTATTACCTGAGTTAATCGACGGCCGCTTCTTAGCTTCAGCTTGAAAATTCCAGATTAAGCTCCTCGTTTGGCCTCGTATTGGAGAATATTAATTAGAATTAATTCAATTAAGTGACAAGTATCAATACAGCAGAATAAAGCCTAACAATAAATGCAGAAAAAGTAGTTAAAAGGAAGCCGCAAGGAGCGTACGCTGGAGAAGAGACGTTCTAATCAACCCGTTTCATCTGAAACTTGCAGACTGAGTGAGTAAAACTGTCGATGAGTCGCATCGGCATCAGTACATCTTGCTAAGCTGTTTTTATAGAGGAAACCCGGGCTGGAAGAGTGGCCAGTGGTGCCCGTTTCCTTGTTGATGAGGGAGAGCGGCCGCTGCCAGCAAGTTTGAGCGGCGGCAGTTCCCTTGCTGGCCGCCGTGGACAATGCCCATCCAATATCACCCGTCCCCACCCATCGCCTAATGACTTTTCGTTCCAAAAGGCTTATTTTAGCGGGAGTTTCCGTTCAACCTCCAAAAAAAATATGTCCCGGGACCAAAGTTCTGCGATCCTCGAATTTTCCCGGACGTTCAATCAAATTAACCTCACTTTGGCATACGTTCCCAGGTCGAAGACTTTTTCGAGATTGGCCTCGCGGTCTGAAACCGGTACTGTTTGCAGTCCGGGAAAAATAGGCTTTTTGAAGGCCTCAAAAATTTGAGTATTATCACAAGTGATATACTTAGTATGTTATTATGTTCTAGCTACTCTAATTTTTAGTTATTTAACACGTTTAAAATCAAGATTTACACTCATAATTTAATTGCATATTGCGTAGGAGTCTTACTTTTTAACTAGGTGAAAGTTTAAAATATAATTAGAAAATTTTTATTAGATTTACTTCTTCATTAGTAGTAGTTGTTTAACAAAATTTTTATATCATTTTGTAATAAAATAAGTTAATAGCATTAGAAAAATTTAATTAGCTTCCGGGACCAGTTCTGCGATCCTCGCAATTTTCCGGACGTTTCAAGTACCATATTGGCATACTTTCGGTGAACTTTTCGAATGGCCTCCGGTCTGACCGGACTGTTTGCAGTCCGGGAAAATAGGCTTTTTGAGCCTCAAAATTTGAGTATTCACAATGATATTTATGTTATTGTGTAGCTACTCTAATTTTATGTTATTTTAAGTTTAAAATCAAATTAACCAATTTAATTGCATATTGCGTAGCTACTTTAATTAGGAAGTTTAATATAATTAGAAATTTTATTAGATTTACTTCTTCATTATAGTAGTGTTTACAAATTTTTATACATTTAAAAAATAGTATATTAGAAAATTTAATTAGTATAGAAATATTTGATTTTTCAATCAATAAAATTAAGGTCTTAAAATTAATAATTTTATTTAGAATTAGATGAAACTTAATAGAAAATTAATATAATCAATCAAAATTAAACTACCTTCATATTTTGACCAATGAAATTAAAGGTCTAGATAATATTTTTGTAAATTTATAAACTTAGCAGACCATAGGAACTCAATGTTCCACCAATTCGTATTTTGAGATATATTATAGATTTTAATCCTAAATATTCGTTAAATTAACTTTATATTAATTTATATAATACCTACTAATATAAATTACTATATCGTATGAAAATAGTAGAAATTGTTATGTAAAATAAAAAAAATGAAATGAAATTTATATTCAAGAAAAAAACATACTGAGAACTAAATGCGAATTCAATCAGGGAGGATCATAATGATTAAATCAGATTTAAGTTTTACGAATTGGATAGAAACTCGACCTGCCAATTAATAATGACATATAGGACTTGTTATGGCTTTTTCGCCTTTTCCGCCAAATATTTTATTACACATAATTTTGAGGGTTGAATTGATTGTTTGTTATTTTAGAACTCAATTGAGTTCGGTGGATTAAGAAAGACAGCACATTCATGATAGTTTTTAAAGTAAACATTATATTTGTTTCCAAGAATTTTTTATACTCTCCCATCAACAAATATGCAAAAGCTGAACACTTCAAAAAACTTTCCAAGCAATAATCAAATCTATAAATTTAATCTAATCTATAAATCTAAGCACAAACAAAAAAGTCGAAGTGATTATTAAATTATAAAAATATAAATAAAAATTATTTTATTCATTTATAAACAGAGAGAGTGAAGATTATAAATTTTTTAACAATACAATTTTACAGTAAACCTAAAATATTTTTAAAAAACAATAATAATTAATAAAATTATTGATGAAATATACATATTTGATCCATATTTAATTGGATATACCTTAGTTGGATTTGATAATCCTAAAACTCATATCAGTCCATTTCTTACCTTATCTCTTCCGCTAGACATATTTCCTTCATCCCTCTCTCTAAATGGGTGAGTCTAAATGAGACCAAATCCCTTCTCGCCATTATCAAATTTGTCCCAAAGACTCTATCCAAGATTGGCTCTTTCGCTTTAATTTCATAATATTATCCAAGATGCTTTCAACTACCAGCAGATGCCTTACTAATTTTCGGCTTCATCGGCTACTGGGTTTTTTTGATTCGGTTTCTTATACTAGTTCTACCAGTACACACGCCAGAGGTAAAAGCAAATCTTATTCACTCGATAACATTGATGATGCTTTGGCTTCTTTCCATTTGATGCTTCATGGTAATCCCTCACCATCTATTGTGGAATTTAGTAAATTATTATCTGCACTAGTTCGAATGAAACGTTACGAGACTGTAATTTCTCTTTACAAACAGATGGAATTGTTTGGAATTTCGCTCGATATTTATTGTATAAATATTTTGACTAATTGCTTTTGCCATCTGGACCGCGTGGATTTTGGGTTCTCTCTTTTGGGGAAAATCTTCAAACTTGGTTTTGAGCCTACCATTATAACGCTTACTACGTTGATCCATGGGCTTTGTAGAGAGGATAGATTTGATGAAGCTGTGGAATTATTTGATGAAATCGTTGCAAAAGGGTTTAAACCTAATATTTATACCTATAATGTGATTGTGAACGGTCTGTGTAAAATTGGGAAAACCAATGTGGCCTTTGGTATTCTGAAAAGAATGCTCGAGGAAGGTTGTGAACCTAATGTGGTGTCATTTAACGCTATCATTGACAGCCTTTGTAAGGATAGATTGGTGACTGAGGCATTAGAGCTCTTCTTGAAAATGAAGAGTGAAGGCATCTCTCCGAGCATTGTGACGTACAGCTCTTTAATCCATGGTCTGTGTATGTCAAGTCGATTGAAGGAAGCTTTTTTGCTGCTTAACGAAATGTTGAAAGCCCACATCACGCCAGATCTAATTACCTTCAATATATTGGTTGATGGTCTTTGTAAGTGTGGAAGGGTTTCAAAGGCTTGTGGTATCGTCAAATTGATGATTCAGAGAGGAATGAACCCTGATGTTGTGACTTATAACTCTTTAATCCATGGTCTGTGCAACTCAGGCCGATGGGAGGAAGCTTCTGTACAGCTCAATGAAATGTTGGAAGCAAACATCACTCCAAATTTAATTACCTTCAATATATTGGTTGATGGACTTTGTAAAGAAGGAAGGGTTTCTAAAGCTCATGGCATAGTCAAATGGATGATTCAAAGAGGAATAGTTTCTAAAGCTCATGGCATAGTCAAATGGATGATTCAAAGAGGAATAAAGTCTAATGTTGTGACTTATAACTCTTTGATGGATGGATATTGTCTACTCAACCGGATGAATCAAGCTAGAGAAATTTTTGACATGATGCTAAGCAAGGGTTATACACCTAATGTTGTTACCTACAGTATCTTGATTGATAGGAGAAAAAGGATAGATGAGGCGATGCGGCTTTTTGATGAAATGGCTAGCAAAGGCTTGATTCCAAACCATTTCACATATAATTCTCTTATACGGGGTGTGTGTACAGCACAGAGCCCTCAGGCTGCATATAAGTTGTTCAAAACCTTGTGTGCTAGTGGCCATTCTCCAGATGTGGTAGCTTACTCGAGTTTGATAGATGGCTTCTGTAAGCATCGGTGTCTAGATCTGGCGTTGACCCTATTTCATCAAATGCAGAAAAACTCATTGAAGCCTAATATTATTGTCTATAGTACCTTAATTGATGGTATGTTCAAAGTTGGAAAAGTTGAAGATGCAAAGGAACTGTTTTCTAGACTTTCCATGGAAGGGTTGCAGCCTGATGATTTCACATACAATATAATGATGAATGGACTTTGTAAAGAAGGATTACTAGATGAAGGAAGGATTACTAGATGAAGCATTCAAGGTGTTCAGGAAAATGGAAGGGAATGGTTGCTTGCCAGATAGTTGCTCTTATAATGTGATTATCCAAGGATGTCTCTGGTGCAATGACTCGTCCATGGCAAACCAACTTATTGATGAAATGGTTGGCAAGGCGTTCTCAGCGGATGCCACTACCACAGAGTTGGTAATGAATTTAGTTTTGAACAAGCCTGATGATCCTCTTGTGCAAAAGTTGCTAAGCTGCTCTAAACATTCTCAAGCTGTAAACTTGAAGTGAAATTTTAGGATAGAACAACTGTTATACTGTTGGAAGAGGTTTTTGTCATATTTCTAGTTATGCCGCCGCAATTTGTCTCGAAAACATGTTCTATTTTCTGCAATTCAATCTTTAAATGATGGTTGAATTCGGTATTTTTTGCAATTCAATATTTGTATCGGGCTTCTGCAATTCTTCATGTGTTAGTCGAAGAATTCATTATTTATGCATACGTAAAGAAAACTTAGTAATAAAGAAAACATACTCATTGCTTGACAGTCAGGTGATCCTTTTCAACTCTCATTCTTCATGAATTCAGGTCCACCAAATACTACTGCTCTGTTTTATGTTGATTAGTATTATTTTGGTTGTTAAAATTATACTCAGTGTGATTGAGTTGCATAACCTTCCGCTTCGAAATCGACATTAAACAAGCACAAAAACTGGCCCTTGGTTTGCAGAATGGTTGATAAATGAGTGGCTCTTCAGTATGACTAGTTATACAGGTTGATAGACACTTGTTCTTAATACAGGTTTTAGTTTTAGGTTGAAAAAGGTTTACCATTCTTTTTTTTTTTTTTAATATAAGCAAGCAAGAAGTGAATTCCATTAAAAGCTATGATATATTGATAGTTTAAAAATAAAATAAAATATTATCATTTTAAAATTTATTTTTTGATTTGGTTGGTTATTTTGGACTCCCATCTAAATAAAAATCCTATTTTACTCAGGAACATACTTAAAAAAAGAAAATTAAATCAAATTTTTAATTTTTAATTTTTTATAAATAATTATATTAAGTTAAAAAATAAAAAAAATCCAGTTGAACCAAATTGATTTAATTCAATATCAATATAGTCCTCTTGTCGATCGTTTGTATGTATTTGTATATGGATGAATCAATGCTTGTATGGATTTAAAGTGTAGGTTTAGAGTTTAGATCATAAAACCATAAACATATTTAATAATTTAATTTTTCAAATTTTGTAAATTCATAAAACCATAAAACATATTTAAATAATTTAATTTTTTCAAATTTTGGTAATTGAAAGAAACCGCTACCCTTTCAAAAACAACAGTTAGTTAGGATGGTAAATAAAATATAGCTATTTTTTTTTTTTCTATTTTTTTTTTTTTTTCTTTTTATGAGACTAATAATCAAAAGTTCATTACTGAAAACTAGTGGATTGATATATGGTACCTCTTCTATCTAGATTTGCTCTTCCATCTCTAAGAGAAAGAACTAATTTTGCTAATGAATGAGCTACTTTATTATCCTTCCTAACTACATGTGAAATTAAAATGGAGTCACACTGATTCAAGAGCATGCAACAGTTCTATTCCGTAAGCTGAATACCAAGGATTGACAATCTGATTCTATCTCAATAGCTCTGACTCCCAACTCTAAGGCCTTTGAGATAGCAAAAGATACAGCCTCTATTTCGGCTTCTTCCAGCGAAAGCACATGAGAACACTTGTGAGATCCACTAGCCAATATATCACCATTTGAGTTTCTTATAACCATTCCAAAGCCAATTCTCCCATCAGCACGAAGTGTAGCATCACAATTCACTTTAAAAATACCTTCCACCAAACATTCCTACCAACAGAGCTGCTATCCGATTGGCCCTGTTGTTGTCCCTGGTAATCATACCAATAGAGACAAATCTTGTCCCACCACCTGCACTTCATTGAGCTTCTTTTCTTGGAGCAGTAGCACGTTCCTCTCCCTCCAAATGGACCAGGATATCATATACAAAATTTCCATCTGCTCAGGCTGAAAATTTGTAGAAATTGACTTGATCCACTGCAACGCCGACCCTGCATTCGAAGATGGCCTTAGTCTCGGTGGGCACAAAAACCAAATTCATTGATGTTCTGGGCAGTTAATGAGCATATGAAGTGTTGTTTCTTCCTCCTTTCCATACCAATCACAAACAGAATACACATCAGTTTTTCGCCGGATCAGTTCCACTTTGGTTGGGAGTAAATTTTGACAAACTCGAATCATAACGTGTTTAACTTTGGGCGGAACATTTTGTTTCCAAAGGAGCTTCCAAAAGGAGTTATTCGAAAGCACAAATGAGCTAGCAATGTCGTGCACAAATGAGCTAGCAGTTTTAACAGAGTAAAGGCCATGTCTAGTCCTTGGCCATGTGAGGAGGTCAAAATCCCGATTCGAACTGAGAGGAATACTACAAATCTCCATAGCTTTATGAGGTTCGAAAATAAACTCAATAAGGGTAAATAAGGGTAATATCCCAATAACCTGTTTTAGGAATGAGAAGCTCCCGAACTGTAGCATTACCATCAAGTATAGCAGGGGCTGAATGAACACGAAATTTCGGTTGCCTCGGTGACCAATTATCCTTCCATATTCTTACCCTTCTACCATTTCCAATAATCCGTCGAGAACCCTTTGGAATTAACTATCTTGCCTCCATCAGACTTCTGCATTAAAAACTCAGTCTGTATCCCAATTTTACATCCATAAAAAAGTTATTTGGATAATATCTTGATTTTAAGAATTTAGCTAATAATGGCGAATGGTCTGTAGCCAATCGCCAACATTGCCTTGCAAGCATTGCCAAATGGCGAATGGTCTGTAGCCAATCGCCAACATTGCCTTGCAAGCATTGCCAAATTGAAGCAATGTAAATTCTTAAAACCCAGACCCCCCTCTTCCCATTTGGATAAACACAGTGTCTTCCATTAAGCCCAATTAATCTTTATTTCGTTTCCTTTTTGACCCCATCAAAATTAAGCCATAAGGGACTCAATTTTATTGCAAATATTAGATGACAATAAAAAACAACTCATAGTATAGGTGGGAATAGACTAGATAATAGCTTTTAAAAGTACCTCTTTCCCTACTTTTGAGAGCGTTGGCTCTTTCCATCCCTTTAGTTTTTTTGTAACCCGATTAGCAAGATTGCTAAACATTGTCATCTTGTTTCTCCCAATAAGAGCAGGTAATCCCAGAAACTTGTTGTGCCATTCCACACGCTTTACACCTAGTTTATTTCTGACAACTACCTGCAATGGACCAGAAATATTAACAGTGAAAGAAATCTCAAATTTTTCCAGGTTCACCTTCTGTGCCGAGCCTGTCCATAATCATTAAGGATGGAGATCAACCTATCTGCCTCTGTTTGAGATGCCTGAGCAAACAGAAGATCAACCTATCTGCCTCTGTTTGAGATGCCTGAGCAAACAGAATACTATCATCAGTGAAAAACAAGTGTGAGAGAGATGGAGCTCTTCTACAAATTTTATAATTCCCTGGAATTGCCTCGCATTTGTTGCTTGCTGGATGAGACTTGAGAAGACCTCTGCTCAAAACAAAAACAAATAGAGGGATAGCGGATCACCCTGTCAAAGCCCCCTTTATGGAAATAAGGTTTCTTAGGGTTCACCTTAAGTAAAACGAAGTAGGATACCGTAGTCACACACCTTATGACTAAACTGACCCAACTCCAATTAAAACCCTTTTTTAACATAGTTCGCTTAAGAAAACACCATTCAACTTGGTCATATGCTTTGCTCATATTAATTTAAGTGCAAAATTCCCCTTCCTACTAGTCGTTTTATTTTTCACATAATGGAAAGTTTCAAAGGCTAGGAGAGGATTATTAGTAATCAAATGACCTAGAAAAAAAGCGGTCTGAGGCTCATGGATGATTTTAGGAAGAAAAGTTTTCAGCCTATTAGCTATTACTTTAGTAATTATTTTTAATATCAAAACCTTGTGTGCTAGTGGCCATTCTCCAGATGTGGTAACTTACTCGAGTTTGATAGATGGCTTTTGTAAGCATCGGTGTCTAGATATGGCGTTGACCCTATTTCATCAAATGCAAAAGAATTTATTGAAGCCCAATCTTATTGTCTATAATACCTTAATTAATGTAATTAATGGTACGTTCAAAGTTGGAAAAGTTGACGATGCAAAGGAACTGTTTTCTAGACTTTCTATAGAAGGGTTGCAGCCTGATGATTTCACATACAATATAATGATCAATGGACTTTGTAAAGAAGGATTACTAGACGAAGCATTCAAGGTGTTCAGGAAAATGGAAGGGAATGGTTGCTTGCCAAATAGTTGCTCTTATAACGTGATTATCCAAGGATGTCTCCGGCATAAAGATTCGTCCATGGCAAACCAACTTATTGATGAAATGGTTGGCAAGGGGTTCTCCGCGGATGCCACTACCACAGAGTTGGTAATGAATTTAGTTTTGAACAAGTTGAACAAGCCCTGATGATCCCAACTTGTCAAAAGTTGCTAGCTTGCTTAAACATTCTCAAGCTGTAAACTTGAAGTGAGATTTTAAGGATAGAACATTGTTTATACGTGTTGCAAGAGGTTTTTGTCATATTTCTAGTTTAATGCCCAATTCTCGCAATTTGTCTCGAAAAACATGTTCTATATTTCTGCAATTCAATCTTTAAATTGAATGTTGAAATTCAGTAATTTTGTTTGCAAATTCAATATTTGTAATCGGCAGGCTTCCTGCATTCTTCTGTGGTTAGTACGAATAGTCGAAGAATTCATTATTTATGCATACGTAAAGAAAACTTAGTAATAAAGAAAACATACTCATTGCTTGACAGTCAGGTGATCCTTTTCAACTCTCATTCTTCATGAATTCAGGTCCACCAAACACTAGTGCTCTGTTTTATGTTGATTAGTATTTTGGTTGTTAAAATTATACTCGGTGTGATTGAGTTGCATAACCTTCTGCTTCGAAATGGACATTAAACAAGCACAAAAACTGGGCCTTGGTTTGCAAAATGGTTGATAAATGAGTGGCTCTTCAGTATGACTAGTTATACAGGGTGAAAAAGGCTTACCATTCTTTTTTTTTTTTTTTTTTTTTTTTTTTTTTTTTTTTTTTTTTTTTTTTTTTTTTTTTTTTTTTTTTAAATATAAGCAAGCAAGCAAGAAGTGAATTCCATTAAAAGCTATGGATATTGATAGTTTAAAAATAAAATAAAAAATTATCATTTTAAAATAAAATAAAATATTTTGGTTCCCATCTAAATAAAAATCCTATTTTGCTTAGGAATATACTTAAAAAAAGAAAATTAAATCAAAAAATTATCTTTTCTTTATTTTGACAATCCTACATATAGCTATGGAGGTTGCATTAAAAAGTTAAAAAACATTATTGATTCGTTTAACATATATTTATTATTACATAGAATAATAGCTATAATAATTGGTATTATTATCTCAATTAGAAATATTAATTTAATAAGGAATTTCAACTAGGAATCCAATAAATTAGATTATCATTATGATTTATTTTTAATTTATATTAGGATTATTTGTAGTATATTCTTTCTAAAAAATTTGGTGATGCTTGTTATTGTATTGATGTGAAAATATTATTATCATTATGATAAATGATTCTACATTTACAGTTATATTAGAACTTTTTTTTTTTTTTGTCGTAAAACTGTTTTATGACTATAATTTTTAATTTTTTATAAATAATTATATTAAGTAAAAAAAAATCTAGTTGAACCGAATTGATTTAATTCAATATTAATGTAGTCCTCTTGTCGATCGTACGTATGTATGTATATATATATATATATAGATGTATCAATGTTTATATGAATTTAGGGTGCAGGTTTAGAGTTTAGACCCTAAAACCATAAACAAACTTAATCATTTAATTTTTCAAATTTTGTAAATTGAATTTAGAGTTTAGACCCTAAAACCATAAACAAACTTAATCATTTAATTTTTCAAATTTTGTAAATTGAATGAAATCGTAACTTTTAAAACCACAGTATGGTAATAAACTATAGCTTTTTTTTCTTTTTCTTTTTTTTGAGACTAATAATCAAAAGTTCATTATTGAAAACCAGTGGATTGATAGAAGATGATATCTCTTCTATCTCAAGAGAAAGAACTAATTTTGCTAATGAATGAGCTACTTTATTATCCTTCCTAACTATATGTGAAATTAAAATGGAGTCACACTAATTCTAGAGCATGCAACAGTTCTATTCCGTAAGCTGAATACCAAGAATTGACAATCTGATTCTATCTCAATAGCTCTGACTCCCAGCTCTAACGCCTTTGAGATAGCAAAAGAGACGGCCTCTATTTTGGCTTCTTCCGGCGAAAGCACATGAGAACACTCCTGAGAGCCGCTAGCCACTATATCACCATTTGAGTTTCTTATAACCATTCCAAAGCCAATTCTCCCACCAGCACCAAGCGTAGCATCACAATTCACTTTAAAAATACCTTCTACCAAACATTCCTACCAACAGAGCTGCTACCCGATTAAATATATATGGATTCATATATTATGAGTTGGAATTTCTATAATCTTATGGCATAATAGAATGCAATAAGTGGATGATAAGTATCAATATTACATGGATCACAAAGATAGCAAAGTGTATGGATGGATTTCACCTAATCCAGCAATGGGATTTTGAATGATTCGATCCAGTGATAAGTTTTGTGTAACTGAACCCTTTAGATAAGAACTAACAGCTAATGCTGGTTCATCTGTTTAATTTCTAACTTTATACTATAAGCTTATTAACTAACAAAAAAAAAAAAATTTATTTTGAAGTAAAAGCACAAATTAGAATAACATTATTTTAAAAATTTCACCATTAATTCATAAAATATAATTTTTAAATTATTGAAAATAATGAGACCTGAAATCATGTTTATATGTTCACTAGACGTACCATTAAGTTATAACTAATATTTTAAATATTAATTTTATACATATGCAAATGTTTACTAGTTCTCATTATTTGGGGAAGTACAAAATACAAAATATGAAGAGACATGGAAAATGGTTTTTGGGCCTGTTTTTATTTATCTTAATTCCAACTTACCTGCTCATGAACAAGCACTTTGGAATGATGCTAAAAGACAGTAAATTATTAATCCGTGATGTTTTTTTTTTTTTTTTTTTTTTTTTTTTTTTGAACTGAATGAAAATATTTAATACCAACAGAATGGATATCTAATAATTTTTTATTTTTAATTTCATTAACTCTCAATTTATTTTTTATCAAATATGCACCTTTCATGTCAACCATTAGATGCTAGTGGAACTTAAAAGTTGGTCATACAATTACACCCAATCAAAAGATTTTTCTTATTATGATAAATGAGGAATTATGTCTTAGGGCAAATAACGATACAAAATGAGTATGTCATATGCTTTTTATTTATCATTATTTTTTGATTAATACTAACAATTTTTGAATATTGCAACGAAAAATACATTTTCATATTCAAACTTTTCACTATTAAATAGAGGGGATTCCAAATTGGCAAGTGGTGCTTATGTGGGCTTGGCAGCTCCAGGAGATGTAGATTCATGGCAATTTGAGACCAAGCTTAACCCTCCATAACCTTTATCTCTTGTAATTATCTATGAATCAAAAATTCGAAAATCTTACTTCCAATTACTAATCAACTATTTTATATATTTTCTCTTTTCTAATTTTCATTTAGGGTTATCAATTCTGGACTCAAGCTAATAATGAGGGGAGTTTCACAATTAAAAATATTCGAGTTGGAACTTATAATTTGTATGCATGGGTTCCTGGATTTGTGGGAAACTGTAAGTATAGTGAGAACATCACAATTACACCAGATACCCTGTGCTTTTCCTTTTTATTCTTATTTTTGCTGTAGTTCCTCAATTTAATTTTAAAAATTAATTTTTAATTAATTTGTAAATGCAGGAAGCAATATTAAATTAGGTGTCCTTAACTACGAATCCTCTAGAAATGGGCCAACCATATGGGAAATAGGGTATCCTGACCGATCTGCTGTTGAGTTCTTTGTGCTGAATCCAGAGCCAACACTTACAAACAAATTATTCATCAACCAACCAAGTGAAAAGTTAGCTCACATCAACAATTATCAATTTCAAATCTTGGTTTGTTTATTCCTTAACGTAATTTATTTTAATCTGTAGGTTTAGGCAATATGGATTATGGGAAAGATACACTGACTTATATCCTACAGAAGATCTCGTATACAATGTTGGCACCAGCAACAGCAGTCAAGATTGGTTTTTTATTCATGTTCCAAGGTAGCTTATCTCATTGTTGATTGAGAATTTTTAAATTAAAGACATTACAATCCTGAACCAAAACTCTTTGGTCTAAATCTAATATATATTGTTGTTTGCATTGCAGAAATACTGAAAAAAATATGTACAAACCAACCACATAGCAAATACCTTTCGAGATCGAAGCTGTGATTCGAACTAGAAATTACACATTGTAATTAGCCTTAGCATCTGCAGTCGAAGCTGAGATACACCATTGTAAATTCTCTCTTATTATTACTTGCAAAATTTTGCTAAATGGAAACTTAACTTAAACTCTGTTCATAATTAAGGTGAGGTTCAATGATTCAAGTGCCAAACGACCTCTTTTCACAACGGGGCTAATAGGCAGGGACAATGCAATTGCAACGCATGGAATTCATGGGATCTATTGGTTTTATACCATTGGTGTGCCAAATGATGTACTTATCAATGGAAAAAATACAATTTATTTAACTCAGACAAGATCTGTTGCAATATTTCATGGTATAATGTATGATTACATTCATTTAGAAGGGCCCAAAGGTACTTGATTCAAGAGCTAGAAGTTTTTTAAAGTCACATTTATATATTTTGAAGCATGACTAATTGCAATATTAATGTAAATAAGTCAATCACATGTGGCTTATCTTTTCATATTCTATATAGATGTGAAGAGTAAGAAATCTAAGTTCGGAGGATATTATAAATAGAGGAAAGCTACCTTCTCAGGGCGGAATTATGACAATTAATTTGAGGGAGCCAAATGAAATATTTTTTAAGTTTTAACAAGGCCAAATGTAACTTTCCATATTTTGAAGGATTAAAATGTCATTTTCAGCAACGCATGGAATTCATGGGATCTATTGGTTTTATACCATTGGTGTGCCAAATGATGTACTTATCAATGGAAAAAATACAATTTATTTAACTCAGACAAGATCTGTTGCAATATTTCATGGTATAATGTATGATTACATTCATTTAGAAGGGCCCAAAGGTACTTGATTCAAGAGCTAGAAGTTTTTTAAAGTCACATTTATATATTTTGAAGCATGACTAATTGCAATATTAATGTAAATAAGTCAATCACATGTGGCTTATCTTTTCATATTCTATATAGATGTGAAGAGTAAGAAATCTAAGTTCGGAGGATATTATAAATAGAGGAAAGCTACCTTCTCAGGGCGGAATTATGACAATTAATTTGAGGGAGCCAAATGAAATATTTTTTAAGTTTTAACAAGGCCAAATGTAACTTTCCATATTTTGAAGGATTAAAATGTCATTTTCATAGGAAAATTTAAAAAAAAAAAATTTTGGGGGGGCCTAACCGTCCCTGTACAATCTATTGTTGTAATCTCTCATGATTCTGGCTCTTTTGGCCTCTAATAAATACTAGAAAAATTGATGCATAAGAAATTTTCCTTATTTAATCCTTAATTCAAATTTTTGTTTATTTATATTTTCTTAATTTAGTACCTTAATGTTCGATTATTTCATGAGTGAGTCTAGGTAGTATTTTTCACTTGGCCTGAAAATATGGTAGCCTTTGTGGGAATTGAAGAAATTAATTAAACTCAAAATGAGTTGAAACTTGAAAGTGAAACATTAAAAATTCTATACCACGTTCAACTTCAAAATATGTCCTAACACTAACAAAATATTGTATTTTTTTTTTCCATACCATTGTCTAGGCTTTGTGAGTACTAGGGATGTCAAATTTCAAATAATTTTTAAATAATTAATACTTAGTCTGTTTAAAAAAATATGCTGTATCAAATTTTTCAATTTTTATTATTGAATTTATTAGTTACATAAAAACTATGTGAAGCGAGAAGGTTTAATCAATAATATCATAATAAAACATCAAACATAACTCTAATTTTGATATACAAGAAGGAAAAACGAAAAAAAAAAAATTGAAATAAATCTTTGACCAAATGCTTATAATAATAATGTTTAAACTCTGTTCATAATTAAAGTGAGGTTCAACGATCCAATTGTCAAGTGACCTCTTTTCATAACAGAGCTAATAGGCAAGGATACTGCAATTGTAAAGCATGGAATCCATAAGATCTACTTATTTTATACCATTGGTGTGTCTAATGATGTACTTATCAATAGAAAAAAATACAATTTATTTGAATCGGACAAGATTTGCTGCACTTTTTCATAGTGTAATGTATGATTATATTCGTTTAGAAGGGTAAAAAAGTACCTAGATTTGTGAGCTAGAAGTTTTTTAAAGCCATGTTTACATTACTTTGAAGCATGACTATTTGCAATATCAATGTAAAATAAATCGAAGTATGACTTATCTTTTCATGCTTTATAATAAATATGAAGAGTGAAAAATCTCATGTCCGGATATTATATACAGGGTACAAAACCAGAGTTTTACCCATTTTCAGTTGGGTCCACTTGCTTAGGAGAAATTCTGTCTGAACCAAATTTTAATGTTGGTTCAGCTTGGTTTTATGAATTTAATCAGCTAGGCTTAAAGCCAAACAGATATCACAAAAACTGATCAAACCGACTGGTTCAATTCGGTTCAAATACCTACTTGATTCGGTTTGTCTTCTAGAAATCTGAGTCACAAATTCAAGCTGGACCAGATCTAATCCGACTCTGCCCGGTTGGAATGGAAAATAGGGAAAATTCTGTTCAGCTATGCATTGACAACTGTCCTAATCGGCAAGGAACCATCTCAAGCATTACTACCTCATTTCAAAAGCTACACTTACGGTGACAAATCATACATGCAGAAAGCAGCAGGGAAACCCCCACATGTAATATACATTCGGGATTAAAAAAGGGGGGGGGGGGGGGGGTAACATTCGGATTAAAAAGGGGGGGGGGGGGGAATAAAACACAGATGGAAAAGAGAACTCTCTTCATTTTTTTATTATTCTTATTTTTGGAAAAAAAAAAAAAAAAAATAAAAAAAGAGAGAAGAGATACACTTGTCCTTTCTTTCCGCTTAGAATTTAGACACGAGGCAAACTAATTGGTCAGATCTGTGTAAAAAAAAAAAAAAAAAAAAAAAAAAAAAAGAGAGAGAGAAAACACTGTCCTATTCTTTCCCGCCTAGAATTAGCACCGGGCAAACTAATGCCAGACAAGTGGCTTAAGCACTCTGCATCTCCAACAGAAATATCCCATCAGAAGGTATCCGCAATTATCAAGAGCATGTCCCGCGAACTACCTTCAAGGAGATTTCCAATCAAATTGGTGATCAAAATAGCCATTTACTGCTCCAAGCCCACTAAGTAACCGATTAGTGAATTCCTGTTGATGATCTATACCAGCATCTTGATGCCTCAATGGCATACCCACCCTCCCAGGTAAAATTCCATAGTTGTTGCCCATAACAGCTTTTACTCCACTAGCAGCGGCAGAGAGACCATTTCCACAACTCAAGCTCCTAAACCCTACACCCACTGTACTTGAACTGGAGTCCACCATGCAATTGCCCAAAAGGCAATTGTCACCAGGGAGGATATTTTGATTTTTCTGTGCAAACCCATTTATGTTCTTCATATTATTCCCTTCAGAATCAACACTAACCATGCTGCCTCCACCACTAAATTGTGAAGAAGTCACAATTTCTTGTATGATTTTCTCAACAGAGCTCTGTGATTCATTTGGATCAACCTCATTTGACTGAGATGATTGTTGCAATGGTATTTGAGCCGGTGAATTTGCAGAACCTAAATGGTTTGAAGCAGTTGATGCTGTTACAACATTTTGAGAACTCTGAGGTAGGTTATTAGAAGATGATGGTGTTGGAGAGGAGAAGGGGGAAGAAGGATTAGGTTGAGCTGGTGGCAAAGTGGTCGAAGAACCTGCAGATGGGATCTGAACAGGAGTTCCAGCATATGGACTGCCAGGATTGTTCATTTGAGTCTCGATCCACGAGTTCATGGAGTTCTGGCAGCGAAGCCCAGCAACAGTAGTGACAGAGCTAGTAGTAGACACTGTGCCACAAGAGTTGTCTGCACTGGCAACACCACTGCTTGTAGAAGGATGCATAACATTTGTCTGTACAGTATGATGATCATTGTTGAAGGAATGCCCTCTAGTTTGCTGCTGCTCCACAGGTTGCTGTACTGAATAATGCAGTGACAATGATGACCTAGTACGACGAGGGAACTGGGCCAAACTTTCTGGAGAACAATTCAAAAAGTTAAATATATGGTGAAAGCATATTTACTAATTATAATGCAATGGCACAGTGCCAAAAAGAAAATTTGGAACAGCTCATCGGAGTCCCCACTTGCATTCATTGGTGATATCATGTGCAATTATCTGAATTAAGCATAATACCACCTTACAGGGTAGCTTGACCCTCAACTAGACTGCAGGATGGAATTATAATCTACCAACAGATTGATATTGATCACAAATTTAATTCATAGCAAGCAGATAGTAAAAAACCTCAGTGCATTAACAATAATTCAACTTTTGCAGGTAAACATGCAGCTTACATCAATCAACCAGATTAATGCTTACAGTATAAAATCTAAAGGTATCTCAAGTCTAGGTAATAGCAGATATGGTACTAAAAATTAGCTAATTGGGGAAAAAGATCCATGTAGCATATCGCAATTAAATTGGATTTGAGGCTCAATTAGGAAGTAACAAGGAATAGTGTTGAAATCTTTGTGATTAAAGTAAATATTGTGTTTTCTAGTTTAGGTTTATTCCTAATTAGTGTAAAGATTATGTTTCCTAGTTTAGTTTTATTCCTATTTAGATTTCTTCCTATATTGGAACAATTTTTTGTATATATAAAAGACAAAACCTATCTTGCAACAGTAAACAGTTGTTTATCCTATTCAACTCAAGTTACAAGACTTGAAGAAAATGTTATAGAGCAGCTTAGCAAATGAAATCAGCTTTCATAGAGTCCCCCACTCTGCCATCATAGAGTGGGAATATCTATCATGCGAATTCTATTGTGATATTAAAGCTATACCAACATACCTTAAAGGTGTAGCCTATGTACTCTCTTCAAACTAGACTGCAGGATGAGAATCTATATGTTATGCTGACCATACAAGGATTGAGGTATCTATCGATCGACCACAATGTGTAATGAATTCATAGAACAAGCACCGATAGTAAAAACCCCACCTCAGTGCATTGAACCAAATAACATTCAACCTTTTCTTGCACGATAAACATGCAGAACTTATCAAGTCAATTTCAGACCATATTAATTGCGCATGTCGAATCTAAAGTAGCCTGAGAAGACTCTCAAATCCGTTATGCGTCAAGTTAGGTTAACCACCTGTTAGCATTTGAAAATTTATGGTAGCTAAAAATTAGCATGACAAAACTTTGGGTTTGGAGCAGATCCATGCCTAGCACTAAATTTCCGATTACACTATGTGATTTGAGTGCTCTGCAAATCTAAGCGCAAGTTAAGCGAATAGGTTGAAATTTTGTGATTAAAAGTAAAATATGTGTTGTTCTAGTTAGGTATTCATTCTCTTAATTGAGTTGCTTAAGGATTGAATATTGTCTTCCCTAATGTTCTTAGTTATTCCATATCTCGATAATTACTTCCTACGTACCATTGGAACAATTTGGTTTAATTGTATATATATTATGATGGATTGTAAGGTTGAAAAGAATACAAGGACAAATTGTACAGAAATCTAGAACACGACTTTCTCTTCTTCTTTTAATGTTCAGTGTTATTCCAGTAGTTCATATGGGCCAGATCGAACTCATTTTCGGCAACCGGTTTCAAGTTTGCAAATGTGGTCCTAAAGGATATTCTACCCAGCACCGCCGTGTACATGCGGATGCTCTGTCGCTACACACTCACTGCCTGCTGATTCCAGAAGAGAAGCATCGTTCCGCGATCGGTTGTTAACACTTCCATCGCACAACCGCATCACCTGTTGATTCTTCTCCACCGTGACCGCCGATCGGCACTCCATCCAAACCGCATCACCGTTCGACACGCTTGTGCACACAAGCCTCCAGAAGATTCTGACTGTTCTTCACGCGCCGGCGTGTGCGACTGTTTCCGGCAAGCTCTGTCGACGATTCTTGTTCCGGCAACCTCCACTCAGTGTGGTGACTCAAACCTACCGGTTCTTTAGAACCAGTTTTCCCTTTTTTGAAACTTTTTTTTTCTTCCCTTTCCACTACTGCTGCCGCCTTTTTACCACTGCTGCCGTTTAAATTCTTTTTTGAAGATATGGTTGATGGAAAGAAGGTAGATATGGTTTATTACTCAGAAAGCCCCTCACTTCAGATTAGTCCGGTGAAGTTAGATGGAACAAACTACCTGGCTTGGTCTCGGTCTTGTTTATTATTCATTGAAGCTAGGAGCTAGAGGTTTGCAGGGATGACTTTGATGGTGGGAGCAACTAAAACTAGTTTCGACAGAATCCGGCCTTTAACAAGAAGGTGGAAATCAGAGAATTCTCTTATTAAATGTCTTGGTTAATAAATTCATCAGGCTAACTATTTTCTGAGGACATTTGCTTCTTGATCAGCTAAGAAGACTATGGGATGCTGGCTTCACAGACGTATTTATAAACTTGGAAAACTATGCTCACGAGGTAGAATTGCAACGAAAAGTTCATGAAACCAAGCAGGGAGATCTGACTATCGCTCAGTATTTTTGCTTGAAACTATTTTGCTGAACTTAGTGGGTTATGGCAAGAACTGGATTATTATCAAGACTTTCAAGCAAGATGTACTGATGATGCGACTCAAGTTCAAAAGTTGATAGAAGTAGAACGTATGTATGATTTTCTAGCTGGCCTAAATCACGAGTATGATCAGATTCGAGTCCAAGTTCTTGGACGAGATCCTTTTGCATCCTTACGACAAGCAAACTCATTTGTACAGTAAGAGGAGACTAGGAGGAATGTTATGGTTCACAAATCTACCATTGACAAAGCAGGGTTGATTGCTAATTCTGTAAGAGAACATACCCAGGCTGCAAAGAGCAGTTCTTCAAATAGAGATCAATTATTTTGTGACTATTGCAGTGAGATCAGGCACACTAAGGAGTTCTGCTGGAAATTATATGGACGCCCAACTAAAGGACGTGAAGGAAAGCGGGTCAGTTCTTCTAGACCACAAGCACGCATATCTGATAGAGGAGCTTTATCTGAGGAACCATCTACTGCTCGAAACTTTTCTAATAAGGAGATTCAGTCCCTGAAACGATTGTTGTCACAGCTTTATTCGTCCTCAACTCAGACTGCAACCTCTAATTTTGTTAATTCAAGTAAGTAATGCGTTCCTACCTTTTCTTTGCAAAAATTGCAAAACCTCATGAGTTATAGATTCAGGAGCAAATAAACATACAACAGCCTCTATAAAACATTTCCTACATTATTCTAAGTATCAAAGGCAAAGACAAAAATAAACATTTCCTCACATATTCTAAGTATCAAGGCAAAGACAAAATTCGCATTGCAGATGACACCTTAGTACCAATTGCTGGCACAGGTTCAATTGACTATACTTCCAATATTAAACTCTCCCCTGTTCTTTATGTTCCTAGATTTCCTATTAATCTGTTATTTGTTAGCTTAATCACAAAAACACTTAATTGCAAAGTAACTTTTTACCCTACTCATTGTATATTTCAGGAACTGAACACAAGAAGAACGATTGGCAGTGGTAGCTTGCGCAATGGACTGTATCTGTTGGATGACATTTGCCGTTTTTCAAATTCGAGTACCAATCAAGCTTTGTTAGGAACTTCTACTTCTAGAAATCCTTCCCCATGAGTATTCAATGGCATAGGAGATTAAAGACCATCTCTCTTTTTCTGTTTTAGGACGTTTATTTTCCCACTTTGTTTGCTAAATGTGATTTAATTCATTAGTATGGATGCTTGTGAACTTGCTAAACACACCAGGTTATTATTTCTCCAAATTAATAACAAAGAATTTTGATTCCTTTGCTAACTATTCATTCTAAATGTTTGGGGTCCTACTAAACTGTCTCTCTTTCTGGTTATAGATGGTTTGTGACCTTTATTTTGATTTTGCACTAGATTGGACTAGGTTTATTTTGATGAAAACCCAAAAAATGAAGTTTTTTCGTTGTTCAAGAACCTTCCATAAATTTTTCGTGTTTTCAGAACTTCCATAAAATGATTTGTACTCAGTTTGATGTGCATGTTAAAATCCTAAGAACTGATAATGGTACTAAATACATGAATGCAGTTTTTCGGACCTATTTAGATTCTAATGGTATTATACATCAAACTAGCTGTGTCAATACTAGTGCTCAAAATGGAGTAGCGGAAAGGAAAAATAGGCATTTACTGGAAGTAGCTGGGTCTCTTGTGTTCACTATGAATCTTCCCAAACCATATTGGAGGAATGCTATTTTGACTGCTGCTTACCTTATCAATCGTATGCCTCTTCGTACTTTAAATTTTAAAACTCCATTAGAGGTTCTTCAAGGAAAAAACTTTTATATTGTACCTCCTAAAGTCTTTGGTTGTGTTTGCTTTGTTCATCAGAATAGTCTAAGAAAATTAGATCCTAGAGCCTTGAAGTGTGTGTTTGTTGGTTACTCTACTACTAAAAAGGATACAAGTGTCATCATCCTTCTTCTAAGAAATACTTTGTGAGTATGGATGTTACCTTTCGGGAGTTTGAATCTTATTTTCCTTCCCAGTCACCTCTTTAGGGGGAGAAATATCAGATGGAAGAGGTGCATTTCTTTCGAGGGGAGATTCCTGTAGACATAGATAGTAAGAGAGAGAACCACCCAAATCTCTAGAAAGATTGGGTGACCTGATTTGAAAACCTACACACGGGGCGGACTAATACAGATACAACCATGAGCATGAGACCTCTGATCAACGTTCCTCTCCAATTTCAGTCGCCTGAGACACAGAAGAACAAGAACTTGGTGAGTCTTCTTTAATTCCTGTTGATTCTGATCCTAATCTTGATTCCAGTCCTTCTGACAATGACCTTGATTATTCCTTATTTTGCTCTTAGAAAAGGGAGTGTTAGAACATGCACGTAAACATCCCATCTCCCATTTTATCTCCTATAATGCTTGTCCTCTTCCTATAGAAGCCTTTGTTTGGTTCTTTTTTCTTTGTTTCTTATACCGCAGGATTGCAAGAGGCATTACGGGACTCAAATGGAAGGCTGCGATGGTGAGGAGAATGAGAGTTTTGGCAAAAAAAACGAGACATGCGATTATGTAACTCCTCCACCAGGAAAGAAGCCAGTTTGGATGTAAATGGGTGTTCTAGTTTTAAACGATAGGGCAAGATGGGTCCAATTGAGAGGTACAAGGCTAGATTGGTAGCCAGAGATTCAGTCAGACCTATTGGGGCTTGATTTATTCCAAAAGAACATTTCCCCTGTAGCCAAGATGAACACAATCAGAATTTTTGTCTTTGTGGCAGTCAATCTATTGGGAGTTATATTCAATTTGATTGATTAAAAATACTTTTCTACATGGTATTTGAAAGAAGAGGTTGTGTATATGGAGATTCCTCCTTGGAATTTGATGATGATTAAAAACGCAGAGGAAAAGTTTGCAAGCTGAAAGAATTCATTATATAGGGTTCAAACAATCACCAAGGAGCATGGTTCAAAAGGTTTAGTAAAGCTATGCTATTCTTTTGGTATATTCAGAGTGATGCTGATCATACTTTGTTTCATTAAACATTCATGAAGCGGTAAGATTACATTTGCTTTATGGTTTATATTGCATGATATAGTGATGACGGAAATAATGAAGAAGAAAGACTCATTTTGAGAAAAATTTGTTAGCTAGGGAGTTTGAGATTAAGCGATTGAAAAAGTTGAGATATTTCCTTGGATAGAAGTTCTAGGTCAGAAAAAGGGATTTTTTATTTCTCAGAGAAAGTACAATCCTTGAATCCCTTAAAGAAAACTGGTATGTTGGGATGTAAACTGCAGAATCACCTATTGAAGCCAATCATAAGTTTCAAGCTGGAGTGGGAAGTTCAGTTGATGTTGGCAAGTATCAGAGATTGGTTGGGAGATTGATTTACCTTGCCCATACTAGACTAGATATTGCCTTTGCTGTAAGTTTAGTGAGTCAGTACATGCATGACCCTCGGGAGTCTCGCTTAGAAGCAGTACATCGGATTCTAAGATATTTAAAATCAGCTCCACGTAGAGGACTTTTATTTTCTAAACATGGCCATTTAACAATAACAGGTTTTCTAAACATGGCCATTTAACAATAACAGGCTATACAGATGCGGATTGGGCTGGTTCCCTTGATGACAGGAGATCAACCTCAGGCTATTGTGTTTTTGTTGGAGGAAACCTAGTCACATGGAGAAGCAAGAAGCAAGCTATTGTTGCAAGGTCCAGTGCAGAAGTTGAATATAGAGCCATGGCACAGAGAATCTGTGAACTTCTATAGTTGCGCAGATTAATGGAAGAGTTAAAGTTGGTTGAAACAACAAATATATCCACATTTTGTGATAGTAAAACAGCCATCAGTATTATAAACAATCCAGTTCAGCATGATCGAACTAAGCATATAAAGATTGATCGTTACTTTATAAAAGAGAAGATAGTTGAAGGTTTTATAAGTGTCTCCTATATAGCTTCAAAACAGCAACTAGCTGATGTTTTCACAAAGGGTTTGCATAGCAAGTTGTTTCATCCTTTAGTTTTCCTTTAGTTTCAAGTTGGACATGACTAAATATCTATTGCACAACTTTGAGGGGGGCAGTGTTGAAATCTTTGGATTAAAATAATATTGTGTTTTCCTAGTTTCAGATTTATTCCTTACATTAAGGGGGAGTGTTGAAATCTTTGTGATTAAAATAAATATTGTGTATTTAGATTACTTCCTATATTGGAACAATTTTTTGTATATATATAGTAGAGTAGAGGTTGAAAAATATAACACATTTGAAAGAAATAAACATATTCTTTCCTTTAATTTCTACATGGTATCAAAGCCATTGCCGTGAATTTTTCGACAATGGTTTCAGTTTGCAAAACAGTCTGAGATACACATAGCACCGCCGAAAGTGGGAGTTGGTCGTCACCACCCGTCTCAGAAGGAAGAACGACCGCCGATTGGCACTCCGTCCAAACCGCGTCGCCGTCTGACCACACGCGTGTGCACACGTGCCTTCAAGAGATTTGGATTGTTCTTCACGCGTCGGCACGTGCGGCTGTTTCCAGCGAGCTCCGTCGACGATTCTTATTCCGGCGACCTCGACTCGGTGTGGCGACGCAGACCTACTGGTTCTTCGACACCAGTTTTGCCTCTTTTGAAATTTTTTTCCTTTTCCACCACTGCTGCTGCCTTTTACCGCTGCTGTCCTTTTTATCACTGCTGCCGTTTAAATTTTTTTTTTTAAGATATGGTCATGTGCACCTGAAGGCACATATGAGTTGGCCATAGACAAACTTATCCAATACCAGTCCCATACCAAAAAGAAAGAAGATTACCCAGATTACTGGGATCACATGATAAATACCCAAGGACTCGAGTATATCACCAAATGTTCCAAATGGCAGGTTATCAGTTTTTCACCTTATATTTCCTTTACAAACAAGTTCAGATGTGACTTTTAGGGTGCCTTTTTTCACCTTGTAAATCGAATCGGAATAGAAATAGATGTCTAAATCCAATAAATCCTATTCCAAGCATACTCTCAAAATAAATATCATTTTGATATGAATTCAAATTATTCAAATATATATATAAATTAGATCTTGTAAGCCAAACCAAAAACTGAAATCATATTCCAAGAATTTCATTCTATTTCAATTCTAGAGCAAACCAAATGTATTTAAAGCTTGAGCAACTACATCCAAATGATAATTACAACGTCTAAAACTTAAAATATCAGAAACAGGGAAAAAACAAACATGTATTGCAACTCATGCCACTATTTGCCACAGAGATTAATTAACAATAATTCTCATCACAAAATCCTTAAATCTTACCCATTGGTCCCTTCCTAGTCTCTTGGCTATAGTCAATTAAGTCCTTCATGCTATTCACCACCTCTGATATCTGCAGTTTGTTCAACCAAATACGGAGTAAAATTATAATTAAGATCTGTAACAACTGGTCCAACAATGGAAAAGGAAAAATGAGCTATCAATCATATTACTTTTGCAATTATACTTTACCATATGAGGGATAAACAAACAAAATACCAAATAGTTCCTGCGTTGAGGAAATACATTATAGCACCAATAGTAGTTGTGAAATTGAGAATTGGAATCCTTATTTTCAGAATCGAGAATTGAATCTAACCATAAGACTCAGCATAACTTTTCAAAGTCAATTAAAAATAATATACACACATTTATAAATATATTTCATGTTAATTTTATCAAAAGATACTAAATAATAAATATTCAATTGCAAATCATGTATTTATATACTTCCAATTCCAAATCATGAACTCAACACAAACCCGATGAGTTGTGTAGTTTCCAAATTCAAAATATCAAACTATTAAGTTAAAATTTTAAAAAGCAAACTAGAATTATGCAGTCAAGTCATTACATTCCTATCAAAATCCATATTCATCATCATTTCTAAATTCAAGCTCTTCATCATTTTCATTTTCTAATGTAATCATATTCTCTTGCTCTTCCTCCTCTATAAAGACTTCTCCGCTTGTTTTGTTGAATATGAGAATCGTTGGGCATGAGAATTGACTTGAATCGTCTAATTCGAATCGCGAATTGTAAGATTCCAATAACACTAAGCTACTTTGGGATCAAAATTCACTTGCTTAACAGTGATACTGCTTTTTAGACCACTTTTGAAGTTAATGCTTTTCAAAAATGGCTCAAAACTAGACCTGGCAACTGGTCCGGTTTCAGACCGATCTGGACTGCAAAAATCCTAGACCAGAACCAGCCAGGCATTCCAATTCCGAACTGGACAGAAACCAAGATGTTTTGGGACAGGAACCAGCCTGGGAATTCCAAACCCAAATTGGAAAAATAAAAAATAGAAAGTAGAAGGTAGGGATAAAAAAAGGACTGAACTGGCTGGCCCTTTTCCAGACCTGGAATTGGCTTGAAACCGGCGGAATTAGGACTGGAACCGGAACCTCAGAAATGGTTCCAGTCCCAATTCTGTGTCTTCATGACCCGGACTATTGGTTTCATATGTTCAATGAACCAGGCAGGCCTTTGTTAGCATCCATTTGTATCTGAAAGATAGTGTGATTGCAATTGATTTTACAGTTTGTAGACCACTTTATAGTTTTGTTGAAATTCTTCTATAGTTTTGAAAAAACTTTGCACCAATCTGCTAGTTGTGAGCTGGCAAATATAGCCAAGTTGGCAATCATGCAGAAGAAGTATAAATGTGACATGTAAAGATACTTTCTGATGTGATTTTGCAAATAGTAAAATTCATGTTACAATACCTAGTTAGGTACAGCATATCCACAGTACCTAAAAATCTAGTATCAGAGCTAATTACCACTTCTCCCAGTTGCAATTTAGCAGCGCAAGCAGTGACTATCAGAGTTCGCCCAAGGCTCGAGAGGGAAAACCTAGCACACAGCCATCCTAGTACAAAGCCAATCCATCATGGGATCCAGGAGTACGATGCGTGGAGAGATGTTATGATCCTAGTTGTAGATAGAAGACAAGATAAACTTGACTTAGATCCCAAAAATTTGACGTATAGAATTTCAATTTTTGGGTTTATAAAATTGGGCTTTCCAACCTAAACAGCTAGCTTTTAAGGTATGGTTCTTCCAAGGTCATATCAACCTGCTCAAAACTCTATTTTGGGGTGTAAAACTAGCCCATATTATAATGTCAAACCCATGCTTATAGCCATCACTTCAGTTAAGTTAAACGCATGTGCACATATTGGCAAACTATGAATTAATTAATAATCAAGTTGTAGAAATTAAAGGAAAGAATATGTTTTATTTCTTTCAATTTGTGATAATATTTTCAACCTCTACTCCACTATATATATACAAAAAGTTGTTAGAAATTAAGGGAAAAGAATATGTTTTATTTCTTTCCCAATTGTGATAATATTTTCAACCTCTACTTCCACTATATATATACAAAAATGTTTCCAATATAGGAAGTAATTCTAATAGCGCAATATCCCTTGGACGAAGCGGAAGCGAGAATGTCGGCTTGAGTAATGCAAACATTGGTGAGACTTAGAAATGGAGAACAAATGACCTTAAATCTTTGTGTACTGACCCCAAATCGAATTGTTTGGGATTCAGAAGTGAAAGAAATCATTTTATCTACTAACAGTGGACAAATTGGCGTATTACCAAATCTTCCAAATCATTCCCGCAGGAGATCCGGACCCATTTTTTTCTGATCCTTCGATAAAAAGATTCATTCTCTTCATAAAAAACTAGGCTCACCATTGTTTCATTTCATTCTATTTATTTATGGGTTCTAGCTCTAAAGAACATATACATGGAGTTATGTCGACTTACGTACAGTCGTATTTGGTTTGGTATTGCTACCGCACATGATTTCGAGAGTCATGATGATATTACGGAGGAACAGCTTTATGGCTAGGTGGGGAAGTAAAATTAATCCTTGTTTATACATTGGTTTCTCCGGTACGAAATGAGCCACTTCAAATAGGTTCATTGCTCCGACCCAGAATATGATTAATCCAGCATGAGCTACATGAGCTCCCAGTAGTTTACCAGATAAATTGATAAGTCGGGCATTTCTGGCCCTTTTTTTTATTTTGTCTTTTTGAACCTTTGTTTGTTTTCATAAAACAGGATTTGGCTCAGGATTGCCCATTTTTAATTCCAGGGTTTCTCTGAATTTGAAAGTTATCACTTTCGTGTGGGTCCGAACTTACCCGACAAGGAATTTCGCTACCTTAGGACTGTTATAGTTATGACTGCCATTCACCGGGGCTTCGGTCACCGGCTCCCCTGTCATCAGGTCACCAACTTCCTTGACCTTCCGGTACTGGGCAGGCGTCAACCCCCATACATGGTCTTACGACTTTGCGGAGACCTGTGTTTTTAGTAAACAGTCGCCTGGGCCTTACGGACATTCTTTTACTTCCTAGAGGAAGGTGCGGTGCGCCAACATTGGCATTGCCCGTAGGTTCGGGCTCGTGGCTGACCTTTCAAGATCGGACTAATGACGTATACAATTCTTAAACTCTCGATGTAGATGCTACATAGTTGGTTCTCATCCTTCAGAGACTACGAATAAGATGTCCTGGTACTCTGGAAATCTGACTTCTGCTCAAAGGAATGAGTGGGTGTAGGAGCCTCTCCGAAACAAAACTCAAGTGAGTGAAAGAAGCCCTGTGAGAAACTGTCTCTAATTCACTCCATCCCTCATCTACTTCTTTCTACTCATGCGTACAATGGTTTTTGTGGAGGATTGATAGCACCCAGTTCTATTCCTTTAGGAAGCTCTTTTTAGATAGATAAATTTATCATATTTCCAAGTAGTACTCATACGCCGGGTTAACAATAAAAATCTACGTCACATGCTAGATGCAGTACAGTTTCGTACAAGCCAAGCACAAACCTCACCCATCAAGACTGAAAGAGATGAGGATTGAGGTCGTGTAGTTCGATAAGACGTGGCAGAGAATGGTTTGAGAGTTTGGTCTTATTCAATCAGATCGGAAGGAATCTCTAGCCTGAGTCTCAAACTCTGTTGGTTTGAAAATAAATGAATTGCTTGTCGTAGAATATTATTCTCGTCAGACTTAAACCTAACTAAAATAACAAAACAAGGGTTCTGCCCCCTTTTCACCTGAGTTAAGGTTAAGTAAAGGAAGACAGGGGAATGGGTTTGATTCGGAGATTTTTCTCCTATTCATGTATGATAGATACGTAAGGAGATTTTCATCCCCTGTATGCTATTTTACGCATTCCATATTAAAAAGGAATTGGGAATAGAGAATCTATACTAAAGAAGGGTCTAATTCTTTAGTATATGTTCTTATTTGATACATTGTAGTCAGTTACATTGGCGAATTAGGTGAAGGTGCGGAAAGAGAGGGATTCGAACCCTCGGTAAACAAGAGTCTACATAGCAGTTCCAATGCTACGCCTTGAACCACTCGGCCATCTCTCCTACATAATTATTATGGCCGATACCCCGAGCGAATAGCGAGTTACTCATATTAGATTGTTCGATAGGTACGAACAATATCAATTCTAACTAGGAAACTTGCTATAAAAATAGAAAACTTTTCATCACTTTTTTTTTATCACTTTTTCTTTAGCCTCCGGGCTCGAAGAATTTTTAAAAAATGGAATGGGTCTACTTTTATGTTATTTCGTACTGTACACTTCCTTTGTTTGTGAGATTATTTTCTCACGAGGGGTAATGAAAAGAGTTATAGAATGGATTGCTACCTATGCCTAGATCGCAGATAAATGGAAATTTTATTGATAAGACCTTTTCAATTGTAGCCAATATCTTATTACGAATAATTCCGACAACTTCAGGAGAAAAAGAGGCATTTACTTATTACAAAAAGAGGCATTTACTTATTACAGAGATGGTGTGATTTGATTTTTTTTTTATTTACCACCTCAAGTCTTAGGAGAAAGACACATTAGTCGGGATAGAAAGATTTGAAATAACTCTACGCTTGTTGAAGGTGAAGTTTATCGATTTATAAATAAAAAATCCCTTCGTCGGGTATTCTCGATTAAATGCAGCCTCGATGCTTCATTGTTCCAATTCTAGCATTGAACGAAAGTTACACCTATGCTACAGGGGTTCTTGTATTGCAGGTAACCCTACCCTACTAGTACAATAGGCCATAGAGGAAGAAGCACTACCGCCTAGGAATCAAAAACAAACACGAAAACTTTGTTAGTAAATTATTTCCTTTTCTTTATTATGGATCGGGGACTAAGAAGAATGGTTGGGCAACAAGCATCCGCAATATCTGGTCTAGTTTATGGAAAAAGATAAATCAACCTCCCAACCAATCTCTTGGATACTGCCATGTCAAACTGACAACTTTCCCAAACTCCAGCTTTGATGTTTATGATTAGCTTCAAT